TTATCTATTTTGCATATACCTGTTAGAAAATACATTATGTTTGTTTTTATATTTTAAAGCACCCAAATGGAGGCATTTGAATTCCTAAAGAAGTGGTGAGGAGCAAATTAGAATATTACCCTAGTTGTTGTCCTTTCTTCTTTTGTATGGTTTAATATTCTACTTAAAGGACCTTTAGCCAAGATGCAGGCTAAGTTGGAAGAAAATCAGGAAAGTTATTTGTAGCTCCATCGTAAATTTTGATATTTGCTCTATCAAATTCACCTACAACATTCTTTAGGAATGTGTTGTCTATTAGTGGGTCTTTATTTATTAACCCATATGAATTTTAGAATTAGTCAAGTTCTACCAAAAAAATTAGGACTTTTTATTGGCATTGCATTGAATATAATCTTTTTGGAGGAAAACTTGGTATCTTTATAATAATGATTTATTTTTACCCATAAAATTGTTTAGTATTCTTTAATGTCTTTCATTAATATTTCATTATTTTTTTCCAAATAGGTCTTACACACATTTTTAAAAGATTTTTTTTCCTAGATAACTTATACTGCTTGAGAGTATTGTAAATGTTATTTGTCCTTTTAAAAATTGTTTTCTGGCATTTGAAATTAAATGGTATTTTATATATTGATTTTTATAGTCAACCAACTTATATAATTTAAAACATTTTTTTCCTACCATTTGTGGAATCTTTTAGGTTTTCTGTACATGTGGTAATATCAGACAATAATTACAGTTTCGCTGCTTCTTTTCAGTGCTTTAGTGTTGCTTGATTTGGTGCATCAGCTAGGACTCTTAGGACGAGGTTGAATGAGAGTGTGGGCATCCTTGAATTGTTCCTGGGTTTTAAGGGTGTATTCTAGGAATCATGCTTATTATCAGTTATTAAAAACTTCATTATGGAGAATTTTGAACATATATAAAAGTAGACAATAAAATAAATTCACCCCCAACACTCATCAGTTTGTGGTTAATCCTGCCCCATCACTTTGTCATCAAGCTCAGATACATTGTTTCATCTGTGAGTCTCTCTTGTTAGTGTCTCAAAGATAAGTGCTCTTTAAAAACAAATATTAACATAACTTCAATATCATTATATGTAAACAATTCCTTGATATCAAATATTCAGGGTTTAAGTTTCCAATGTTTTAAAATGTCATACAAATTTTAAAGTTAGGTATTTTAAGAAGAATCAGGATCCAACTAAGATTCAGACTGTGATTTCATTAATATGTATCTTAGTTCCCTATTGCTGCCATAACAAATTACCACACACTTGGTAGCCTAAAACAAAAACAGGAGTTCAAAGTGGGTTTTACTAGAATAAAATCGATTTCATTAGGATTATATTCTTTCTGGAGATTTTAGGAGAGAATTTTCCAGCTTCTGGAAACTGCATTTCTTGGCGTATGGACTTCTCTTTCACTGTTAAAGCTACCAGTGTAGTATTTTCATGTCTTTCTCTCTGACCACTGTTTCAGTCAGCACATCTGCTCTGCGCTGCCTTCCTGTTGAAAGCGCCCTTGTGATAACATTGGGTCCAGGATAATCCATGGTAATTTCCCCATTTTAAGACCTTTAATTTAGCCATATCTTTAAAGTTGTCTTGCCATGTAAGGCAGCATAGTCACGAGTCCTTGGAGGTTAGGATGTGAATACCTTTGAGAGGCTGTTATTCTACCTTCCTCACTTAATATGTTTATTAAGTCTCTTTGAATTAGTCTCTCCCTCAGTTTCTCTTTTTAAACATTTTTGGATTTTATGTGTGTCCCACTGCTGGGTTTTGCTGATTTTATTTCTGTGATCTTTGTACCCTCTGTATCCCCTATCAATTGTTAAGTCAGATCTAAAGCTTGATCATTCAGCCTCTCTCCCCTGCCGCACTGTCCTGTTTTTCTTTTTCTTTTTCTTTTTCTTTTCTTTTCTTTTCTTTTCTTTTTTTTTTTTTTGGCAAGACTACCTAGGCTCAGTTGGTTGGAGTGTGGTCCTTATATGCCAAGGTTGCTGGTTTGCTCCCTGGTCAGGGCACGTACAAGAATCAACCAATGAATCACAATTAAGTGGAACAACAAAGTGATTTCTCTCTTTCTCTTTCTCTCTCTATCTCTCCCCTTCTCATTCTTTTCCTCCTCTCCCCCTTTTCCTCCCTCCCTCCCTCTCTCTGTAAAATCAGTAAATTAAAAAAGAAAAAGACTTCTTAATAAGTAGTGCTTTTCCATCAAGAGACACATAACATTAGAATGGTGCATAAGGTCTGATAGTTGTTTCATGTTAGCAGGCATTCTGTTCAGTGTTTAGATCTCTTAATTCATTAGGGTTTGCAAAATGATATTCTAATCATCATTCCTTCATTTGTTAGGTGGAATACTTTCATAAAGATAAACTTCTCCCATTTACTACTATTTGGATACTTAGTGGTATAGTTTATATGGAAAGGCAGGTAGAGTTCATATCATTTTTTTTCCTTTTGTTTACTAATTGTCAAAAGAATGAAGTTGTCTTTTAGTGTCCTCCAATGTTGGACAAATTGTTTTTGTTATCATTATGAACTCTTGTATTTAAACATATGCATTTCAAGACAATGCAGTTATTATCCTTATTGATAATAAAACTGTCCTATCTTGACATGACCCTGGTAATCTTTGATAAGGTTTCTGCTATCTGATATCACAGGATGTCCCATTTCCTGCCCTAGAATTAGCCGTATCTCCAAGAAGCCTGGGTTCCTTTAGTTGGAAATGGTATATAGGAAATACAATGTGGGTTAGTGGAACTCATTGTTACAGAGTGTTCATTGTTTATAGATTTTTTCCGATGGATAGGGTTAGGTTTTATTTTAGTGTTGAAGAAAAATACATGTAACTTCATATTGATACTCTAATTCAGATTCGGAACTAAGGTTTTATTACTTCCTTATATTTTCTATCTATATCTCTTATCAACAACACATCTAAAGACACTTAAGTTTTCTTTTTGTAGTTTTGTTTTTGTCCTTAGCGTATATCCCACTATGGAGATACAGTCAAATTACTATATTTTAAAGTCACTTGGAGTAGTGTTTATGCTACTAACTGGGCATGCATTTAGTTTTACTTATTTTGTTTTCAGTGACATTAGTTATTGCTACAATGAAGGTATATTCAAAATACCATCTTTCTTTGTTCCTTTTAGCCTATTCCCGACAGTGAAAATTTTTTTTCTGATTATCTCTTCGTTATTAAAAAAATTTTCTTAAAGCTTTATTTATTTATTTTTAGAGAGAAGGGGAAGGGAGGGAGAAAGAAAGGTGAGAAACGTTGATGTGTGGGAGAAACACCCATCTGGTTGCCTCTCGCATGCCCCCAACTGGGGACCTGGCCTGCAACCCAGGCATGTGCCCTGACCAGGAATCAAACTGGTGACCTTTTCGTTTGCAGGATGATGCCCAGTCCACTGATTTATACCAGTCAGGGCTTTTTGTTATTTTTAATAAACATTTATAACTGTCTGTATTTATTTGCAGTCCCTTTAAAAAATATACACATACATTTCCCCGACTTGTTTCTTTTACTTAATAATGTATCTTGGAGGTCATTGAATACCAGAATTAGGATAGCCCTCATTTTAAAGTGTTATAGTATTTTGTAGTGTGGATATACCTAAATTTTATTGATTCTGTCCCATATCAGTGAATATTTGGATAGTTTCCAGTGACTTGCAATGTATAATTGTTGCATGTTTTTTCATAATTTGCAGATAGAGAGATTCCTAAATGAGAGCTTAATAAATGTGCATGTTTTGTCTGCTGATTTGAGATAACTGCTCTTTTCTGTTAAATTTTATGTGAGTCTATTTTGTGTATTTTCAGTTATTTTTTAAACAACTCATTGATAGGGTTCACTCATTTAAAGTATACAATTCATTGATTTGGTGAGGGGGCGGAGCAGGGAGGGGTGAGGTTTCTTCAGAGATCCTGCCCCTCCTTCCTCAGCTGGAGACCTTGAATCATCTGAGCCCAGGATGGTTTTTTCCTTCTCCCCCTGAGGAAGAGAGAGTTTTCCCCCTTTTTACTCAGTAGTCTTGAGTTTTTCATCTGTGTTTTGGGGGTGACAGTGTTTGTATTTCCCTCAGTAGCTTCAACTTTTGTTTCTTATAGGACAAGGGTATCAGAAAGGTTTATGCCTTTCTTAGAGTTAGCTGCTCCCTTCCTGAGAGACCTGCACCATGGAGAGATAACTTTTTCCTATCTTCTGCCCTGTCTTCACTCTTAATTATGCGTGTCCAGTAGAAGTTTGTGGAGAAGGAGCCTGCAAGTGGGTGTGAACTCTCTTTGTGTCTATGGCTACTAGGGTTTCTGTATTTTTATGCTGGCCCACAGTCAGCTATTACCAAAGAGGTAAATGTAGCTGAATTCATCTTACCCACTTGTACAGCCACTTCATTTTTTTTCCTGTCTTTGTCATGTATGACCTACTGCTTATGTCCCATCTCTCCTTGGGTGCATCTGTCTTTTCTTAGATTTCAGGCTAGTTAATAATTCTACAACCTAAACTTTCTAATGGATTCAAAAATTGTTATGGTTTTGTGGATTATTTGACTTCCTCTTGTTACAGTGGGAGTGATGTTTTTTCCAGTTTATTCATGCTACACAGAAGCTGGAATTTCTCTGTAATTAAAGATCTCTTTTAATTTTTAACTTTTATTTTGGAAATATTTCCGCATTACGGAAAAGTTGCAGGTGAACTACTGTGTACCCTTCACCTGATTCACCAGTTATTAACATTTTGCCAAATATGCTTTATCATTATCTTCTTACATATTTACATGTTATTAATTACTGAACCATTTGAGAATAGGGTGCCCTAACCTCATGATTATTCACTCCTGAGTACTTCAGTCTTTTTATAATCTTAAAACCCTGGTAATATATTATATGAAGGTCTTTGTATGTCAGCAATTATAAACTGATATTAAAGTATACATAGGTAATTATATTACATTTTTTTTTCATTCTGTAGGTATCATTAATGGGATTGGAAATTTTAAGTGCCTTTGTGGACAGATTATCAACACGATTTAAGTCCTACGTAGCAATGGGTAAGTTAGCTTTGTTTATTTAAAAATTATGGCAGCCCTGACCAGTGTGTCTCTGTTGGGTGATGTCCTGCAAAGCGAAAGGTCTTCAATTTGATTTCTGGTCAGGGCACATGCCTGGGTTGTGGATTCAGTCCCTGGATGATGCACATACCAGGAGCAACTGATTGATGTTTCTCTCCCATAAGGATATTTCTCTTCCTCTCTTTATTGCTTCTCTCTCACATTGATATTTTTCTCCTTCTCTTTCTCCTTCCTGTCCCTTCTCTGAAAATAAATAAATAAAATCTTTAAAAAATTTTTAAATTTAAATTAAAGAAAAAAATATTGTAATCCTGGCTAGTGTGGCTCAGTTGGTTGGAGCATTGTCCTGTAAACCAAAAGGTCATGGGTTTTATTGCTGGTCAGGACACATGCCTAGGTTGTGGGTTTGGTCCCTGGTTGGGGCATGTGCAAGACGCAGCCATTGTTTCTCTCTCACATCCGTGCTTCTCTCCCTCTGTCTCGCCCTCCTTTCCCCTCTCTCTAAAGTCTATAAGCATGTCCTCAGGTGAAGATTAAAAAAAAAAAAAAAGTAGCATGTCCTCAGGTGAGGATAAAAAAAAAGGTAACATTATTGTAGATTTTGACATACTGAATTTTTTCTCATAGTTTTTGTTTAACAGAATTAGTTCTCTGGAAATGAAAAAATGTAAGTTTGTACAACTTGGTGATCTGCTACTTAGCGTTATAGTTTACCTAGGCATAAAAGACTTTAAGCATATTCAAATAGATAATTATATTCCCTCAAGACAAAGAAACAAAAGCAAGAAACTTACTAAATACAGTGCTAATAAATTTTTACTTTTTATTTTCAAAGATTTTACTATCCTTTCACTCTTTTTGTAACATTAAAAATTTAGAATATAATTTACAGCACCACTTTTCAAAGTATCTATTGTGAAGGACTAGTTATTTCACTGCTAGTCTGTTGCAGACCAATATTTTGTAAAATGCAATAAAAATAAGTTATGGCAAAATGAAATAAAAAATAGAAGACCCAGTTTTTTACTATTAGATTTAACAAACGTAAAATTACTTTGGTCAGATTGTTTTAAAAACTGTATTTTATAAACACTCTCAATTTTTCTTACCACAAATATTTTGTAGACTGGTCCTGGGCTACCTGCCATACTTTGAGCAGTACTTACTTAGAGTGTTTGTAAAGAAGAGCATTATGCCAGTACAATGCTCTTCTTTGTATAGTAGTTAGGATTGCAGAGCTGGCTCTGACCTATTTTCTAAACCTGAGTGACCTTCATGTGCCTTTGGAGTGCTTTGGTGAGTGGATTTGGTGTGGATTTGGTTCCTATTATATAGAAACAGTTAAGGGTAACTTCAGATGTTTGTTAATTTCTTTATGGATTAAGTTAATGTTTTATAATGTATCATCACACTTACTTTTGAATTATCATTGGTCAGCTTTTTTCTTCATATTTTTGTATACCACCAAATTCTGCCAATTTCCACTTTTATTTTTATTGTCTGTTTATCCTTTCAGCAGAAGCATCTTCGTTTCCCTTTCTTTATTTTTATCATCATCATCATCATCATTGACTTGAGAGAGACACCAATTTGTTGTTGCTCCACCCATTTATGCATTATTGGTTCTGCCCTGACTGGGGATGGAACCCACAGTCTTTGTGTATTGGGGCAGTGCTCTAACCGACTGAACTACTTGGCCAGGGTTTTTGTGTTGTTTTTTTTTTTAAATCCTCACCCAGGGACATGCTTATTGATTTTAAGAGAGGGGAAAGGAGGGAGAGAATGATCCATGTGAGAGAAAAACATCAATCAGTAGCCCCTTAGACGTGCCCACACAGAGGACCGAAACTGTCACCTCGCCATATGCCCTGACCAGGTATTGATTCTGCGACTTTTCGGGTTACAAGACGATCGATGCTCCAGTCAAGTGAGCCACACCAGCCACGGCTATTACTCCTTTTTAAATCAATACCTGGTTTCAATTCATTCTTTGTTGAATATCTCCTGAAAAGAGGATTTTTTTACTGTGTCAGTCTCCTGCTTAAAATCCTACAATGGGCATTTAAAACTTTGCTCTGTGAATGTGTTTTATGTATGTATTTTCTTAAAACATTTTGAATCAATGTTTAACATTACTGAGTTTTACTTAAAAATTAATATTTATGACTTTTCTTGAAAAATTGTCCAGTGTGGCAACCCTGACCTTCCACTCCCACATGGAATTATTGGCTGAAGCTGTGTTGGTAATTTCCTTTTTGTCTGTATCATGAGCTTTTCAGTTCATATGTCTCTCCCATTCTCCCTTGTCTCCTCATAACTTACAATACAGCAGAGTTGGAATATTGCAGTTCTTAGACCTGATTCATTTTCTGCATTCCTCGTTCCTCCCTGACTTCAGGTATTTATGTATGTGACCCCTGCCCTGTAGTAGCTCGCTGTTATTCGTTGTTATAGGCATTATTTAGACTTGAGAGGAATTCTAGGCATTACACATGTCACTTATTTTTCAGACGTAAGGAGGGTCAGATGGGGTTTAATGTACTGACTGCTCACATTGAGGCAGTGGGAATATTGGTACCTAGCTTATTGCCTCCCGGGACTGTTCTGCTTTCGGAACTTACTTTCCTTTTGCTCCCTTTGGTGTTCCAGTTCTCTTAGCATGTGTGTCCCTTCTCCATTTCAGTAGCATTATTTATTTGTGATCTTCTGCAAGTGCTCTTCTTAATTCTAGCGAATCAGAAACTTGCTCACTCATGTTAGTTCTGGCTTAACTTGCTTATGCCTCTGCTCTGCTGTGCTGTTCTTTTAGAAATCCTATTCTTTTCTCCATGGTCCTTTCTTTTTCTTTTAAAGGTTTACTTTAGACAACATCTGGGAGCTTTACAGATTAACCTCACCCTACACTGAATTTTTCTTTACTCCACGATTCTTTAAAAAAAATTTTTTTAAAACCTCACCCATAGATACATTTACTGATTTTAGAGAAAGAGTAATGGGTAGGAAGAGAAACATGGATCAGTTGCCTGCCATTCACAACCCACCCAAGGATCGAACCCGCAACCTAGGTTTGTGCCTTGACTGATCGACAACCTTTTGGTGTAGGGATGATGCTCCAACCACTAAAGCCAACCAGTGAGCAGAGCTTCTTCCTAGGACTCAGCCTCCATTGCCTCAGGGAAAGTAAGGCTACAGCTGCGATGTCAAAAGAAAAACAAAACAAGTTAATTTCTTTGCTTTTGATCATGCAGGGTGATTGGGATGAAGGGGACAGTAGGTGAGACTTTATAGAGAGTGCTTACTCATTGCCCTTCACTCTCTCAGTTGTTTAACTGTATTATCTTAATTTTCAGTAATCATCTGAAGTAAATACTGCTGTGAACATTTATGGGTTAAGGAAATAAAGACAAAAAGAGATTAAATAATGTGTCGCACACCTCACTGAGTGGTAGTGGTAATATAAGAGATTACAGAAAGATAATTTCAACTGTAAGATATTTTTGTCCTATTAGCTGACTTCAGAACCTGTGCCCTCTGAATTCTAGCTGCACCCCCCTCCATTCAATTCTCTCTAACCTTACCCATAAATAGATGTGATTTCTTCATGTTGCTGTGTTGATTTATAGTTACAAAAACCTTTTTCATGAAAATTTGTCTAAAACTGGACTCTAGTCTTCTTTTCCTCCCTCCTTTTATGGAATAGTGCCAAAGTGTTGGACCTAGTAGAGAAAGATGTCAGTTCTAGTGTACTAGGCTTTTTTGTTTTTGTTAGTAAAGTAGTTATTTTCCACAAACAGAAGAATGTGTATCAGACATGTATAATATGAACAGTAATTATAAAACCAGCACCTGCCTTGGCCCAGGTCTAGAAACCAGAATTCTGCCAGTGTCTTAAATGTGCCCTCTCTGCATCTCCCGATGATGCCTCCCTCCCTCTCCCGGAGGCAGTCACTGTCACGACCTTTGGGATAATCATGCCCTTTGCTGCTCTGTAGACCTTGATATCTAGACATTTCCCTAAAAGGAATAATGATTAGTTTTGCCTTTTTTTTGGACATTATTATTAGAAGTGGATGTCATACTGTATGTAGTCTTTTGGAAGTTGCTTCTCAGTTATTTTTTATTAGACCTATGAATAAAGAAGTGAACAATTTGCTTACCTTGTAACTTTTCATTTATGGAAACAATTACTGTTTCTAATTTCCTAAAATATAGTTTATAATTTAGATGAATTATAAATATTTATTCTTTTTTCTCTAGTTATTGTAGCTTTAATAGACAGAATGGGAGATGCCAAAGACAAGGTTCGTGATGAAGCTCAGACTCTGATACTGAAGTTAATGGATCAAGTAGCACCGCCTATGGTAGGCCTACATTTTAATTCTGATTTTGCTAATTAATGATGAAATATCAGTAGGATAGATGGCAGTGATAGCAAGTCAGTCACCAGAGGATATGAAAGCTGAAATCTTAAACACTGAATTGTTGCTAACACTTCAAAGAAGTTGAAATTTAATATAAAATGTCTGTATTTAACTTTTTGGTTTTTTGCTTTTCTTTTTCTTATTTTCTACTCTTTAATGTGGTTTTTAAGAAGCTAACTCAGATTTTAGTGATTTGAAAATATACTGATAATACTATTTTTTAGGATTTTAATGGTTTTCTTTGCATTATTATAAAATGTTCAGTGCAAAAGCTTGTTTTGAGGAATATTGAACATTATATTAATTTATGCACCTTTTACAGAGACAGAAGAAATCTTTGTATTTTACTGGGTAGTTACTAATAGTATAAGGCATATAGCCTATAACAATGACCTGTGTTTATAAATACAGTAGAAATAATTTGCCCTGATGTGGAGGTGTTTTGAAAGGAGCAGAAATAAGTTGACATTATACACAGATGTAAAGAGTACCCCGTGTTAAGTGAAATAATATTATAATTTGAAATATACATGATATTGTTACTATTTAAAATACAGATTAAAAATTACAATATTCCATGATTTATAAAAACCTACAGAGTATTACATTGCAAAAGTAAACTATTTTCTCAGATTTAACCAAAGTTCTTGTTAATAGTGTGGTGGATATCCTTCCGTGCTTGTTTAGTGGTTCATATTTCAACTTGTTTTTGACATGCTGTTATTACAAGCAGTATTGTAAGGGACATCCTTGTACATGTATCTTTGGACATAAGTATAAGTATAGAGTTCCAGAGATGGTGTTGCTGAGTCATTTTTTTAAAATTAGTGTTTTGTTTTGTTTTTTAAATCCTCACCTGAGGATATGTTTATTGATTTTAGAGAGAAGGGGGCAGAGAGAAAGAAAGAGAGAGAGAGAGAGAAAAATATTGATGTGAGAAATATTGATCATTTGCCTCCCATACTGGCCCCGACCAGGGATTAAACCTGCAGCCTAGGTGTGTTTCCTGACCGGGACTCGAACCCATGACCTTTTGTTGTATGGGACGATACTCCAACTAACTGAACCACCTGGCCAGGGCTAAGTCATGTTTGTTTTTTTGTTTTTGTTTTTTTAACTTCCAAGTTACCTTCCAGAAGGTTTGACAGAGGAGGCCAGGGCGGGGGGAGGGGTGGTGGGGAGAAGAGAACTATATTAGTAGAACTGAATACAGAGTCCAGAAAGAATTGAGTCCAGGAAAAGGGGGGGGGGAGGGGGTGTGTGTGTGTGTGTGTGTGTGTGTGTGTGTGTGTGTGTAGTAAATGGTAAGGGTGGTGTTTCTAAATGTGGAGAAAGAATTGATTGGGACAGTTGACCATATAGTTGGAATAATAAAGCTGGATTCCTTCTTACACCAAAACCATGTAATTGTTTTGTATTCTTTGTATAGGTTTATTTATGCTTTTTCCAAAAGAAAATTATAGTGGGTAACAATAAAATGACTTGCCAAAATATGTTTCTGTATTTGGATCCAATCTTAAAGGGAGAAAAGCCTGAATTATAAAATGTTGAAAAAACATGTTCCATGTGACAGTCTATAGTAGTTGCTAGGCAACATTGGACCTTTTAAAATGCTTACTGGACTACTGGGCTTATAATGGTAGCATTGTTGTTGAAGATTTCTAAAGCTTAGAACAAATTCTATGTCCTTGGCAATTCTAAGGTTTTTAGGTATTGAACATATTTTTTCTGAGAATAATTCTACAGTGAAAGATATAAAATAAAAACTAAAAATGTAATTAAGATATTAAAAATTGGATGAGAGCAATTAGTGCAAATTTGGCTTAGAAAAACTTCTGGATAAGTCAACAATCTAATGGGAAAATTCATTTACCAATAAGGTTGGTAGTAAGGTTGAGATTAGATAAAAGATTATATCATGAGTAATTTAATTTTTGTTATACATGTTTACTTTTCTTTCAAATAGCACATTTGGGAACAGTTGGCTTCTGGTTTTAAGCACAAGAATTCTCGATCTCGAGAAGGCGTGTGTCTGTGTCTTATTGAAACCTTAAACATGTAAGTTTTATGATTACTGAAAACAGCTGCCTATGTTTTTCATTTTTCTCAAAAAAGAAGTATGCATTTCACAAAGCTCAAGGAAAGCTATGGAAATAAGTTTTAAATAGTTATTAACTGCTCTCTGGTACAAGGGTTTTTATTTTATTTGATACCTTTTCCTGTTAACTTTTTGTGTACATACTATTATCTTTTATGTTGTTTATTTGAAGTTATTAGTTATGAGAAGTGTTTTTTCTTTAGTATGTTAATAGTTGCTACCCAAAATAGATGTTCGTATAGCAAGTATGTTGATATTATGTGGGATCTACTGTTCTGGACCCAGTTTGGAACTGTTTTTAACTCAGTGGTATTTCAGATAATGTAGTTGAGTTACACCTAGGCTTTCTGGAACAGCAGGGATGGTTATGAAAATCATAGACTGACAAGGCTCTGCCAGGGAACTGGACAGTGAATCTGCCAGCTGCATGCAGAGCCCTGACAGCATAGATGCTACCGAGTTTAGAACTCCAGTCTGAAAAAAATTGTAACCTGAAACTTTTGTTCTCTTTCTGGATTATTTTTTTAAGTTCTGTGTAATAAGATAGGTAATATATAGTAGCTTTCAACTTTTCCTGTAATGTTACTTCCTTTTCTCTAACTATACCTTCATTTATTTTCTTTTATCCCTCTATGGTCCTTTCTGCCATCTAGAGCTTGTAAGTGCATTCAGTCTGCACAACTTTTGTGGTTTTTGGCTCTTCTATCATTTGCTTTCAACCCATGACCTCATCAAAAATTAATAAGCATAAATAAAGATTTTATTGGAATGCAAATTTGAGACCCAGAGTCTAAAAAACAATCACTATTTTAAAGCAAAAGCTCAAATTTTCATGAGTGATTGAGAGGTTGCCAGGATTAAGAGTGCCATTGGTTGAACATTTTGCTCTGTTGGATCTTGTATTGACAATTTTCATTGTCAGTCTTGATTACTCAAGTTTGCATATTTAACATTGTTTAGAAATAGTTTTTTGCTTGTGTCTCATATCCTTCATGTTTTAATGATGTGTGCCCATGCTCTCTACCATGTTTGTCTTATTAATACAGACAAGGAGAAAGTATAATGATATTTTGTTTACTATTTGATTAAAACCAAATTCTCTTTTTTTTTTCAAATTATATTTAGTTTTGGAGCTCAACCACTAGTCCTCAGCAAGTTGGTACCGCATTTGTGTGTGCTATTTGGAGATTCCAGCAGTCAGGTAAAATTTTGCTTACATTCAAGCATTGACTAATTTTTTTGGCTGCACCATCTTTGGTAGTGCTCTTATTCCATTTTTGAAAGAAAAGGAATAGAGAGGGTGGAAAGGTGTAATGAAGTTAAGGTTTCACCTCATTTTTCCCTTTAAAATCCACCAAAGTTAGTTTTTAGGAACACATTATATTCACTTAAGTTGCTTAAGTTTGTTAGTTTTTTACCTACTATTAAGGATAGATGGGACTTAATGGATAGTTCTTGAGTTTGAAGACTTGAGTAACAAATCAGCTTCCTCTCTGTATTCGTATGTGTTCATTGTGAGAACAGGTCGTCAGCTTTCTTTTTTTATTTCTGAATGGTTGCATAACAGCTTTTTTGCAACAGTCATTACCCTATTTAACAAACGGAATTTGTGCCAATGACGTCTCACTTGCTAGAAGTTTCTTACCTGAGCTGCATAAACTATAGGCATAATACAGGGGTGTGTTCTGGGTCTCGTCCCTTTTGGTAGAATTGAATCTCGGTTGTAACGTTTTTGGCCCAGCTTATGCATTTTGGAATAACCCTCGATAAGGTTTTCCCTGCTTTAGACCCTAGCTAGCTGTGCCCCTGGAGGTCTGTAAAGAGTTCTGTCTCTTCATTTGCTCTTTGACAGTGAACTCTGCAGGGGAATTAGAGCTGCCTTCCAAATTCCTGTCTTTAGGCCACATTTTTTTCTTTTTAATTGTGGTAAATTATGCACAACATAAAATTACCATTTCAGCCATTTTTAAGTGTACAGTTATTAGTTCATTGGCATTAAGTACACTCACAGTGTCGTGCAGCCATCCCCACCATCTCTCTCTGGAGCCTTTTCATTTTACCAAATGGAAACTGTCTTCCCATTAAACAGCAACTCCCTGTTCCCTCCAACCCCTCAGTTCCTGACAACCACATTTTACTTTCTCTCCATATAAATTTTACTACTCTAAGTGCTTCATAAAAGTGGGACCATACAATATTTGTACTTTTGTATCTAGCATATTTCAGTTAGTATAATGTCTTCAAGGTTCATCCATTGTCTCAGCATGTGTCAGAATTTCCTTTCCTTTGTTTAAAAAATATTTTATTTGTTTTTAGAGAAGGGGAAGGGAAGGAGAGAGGAAGAGAAACATCAATATGTGGTTGCCTCTTGTGTGCAACCTGGCCCGCAACCCAGGCATGTGCCATGTCTGGGAATCAAACTGGCGACCCTTTGTTTTGCAGGCCAGCACTGAGTCCACTCAGCCACACCAGCCAGGGCGGGAAGGCTCTTTTTTTTTTTTTTTTTTAAGATTTTATTTATTTATTTTTAGAGAGAGGGGAAGGGAGGGAGAAAGAGATTGAGAGAAACATCAGTGCTCCAGAGAAACATAAATTGATTGCCTCTTGCATGCCCCCAACCTGGAATCTTGCCTGCAACCCAGGCATGTGCTTTTTGGTTTGCAGGATGATGCCCAACCCACTGAGCCACACCAGTCAGGGCTTTCCTTTCCTTTTTAAGACTGAGTAATATTCCACTGTATATATATACCAGATTTTTTTATCCATTCATTTATGCTTGGTCTTTTCGGTTATTTCCACTTTTTGCTTATTGTGAATAATGATACTGTGGATATTGGTGTATAAATCAGGTCACATTCTTGAAAGGCAGTTTCATACCAGGGAAATATATCAACTCTGATAATAATTTGTGTTCATACAATTATTGGCAGTTCTTTTTACAATCTTATTACAAAAATAAGACTTTTTAAAAGCTACGTTAGTAACTTTTATTCACATGTTTCTTAGATTTTTGTAAAACCTTTACACAGTTTCTCCAGGGGTTTCTTGGGAGGTCCTCTTGGTTTTTGTTAATGACCTGCCATAATGTCTTAAGGGTTTAGAGACATTAAAACCAACTTTGAGCTTCAAGTTTGTCTGCTAGTCTAGTGTTACTTGAGGTGAAGTATTTTATTGTATCTCATATACTTTTTTTTAAAGTTCTAAATTCTTTGGCAGGTGAGAGATGCTGCAATATTGGCTATAGTGGAGATTTACAGGCATGTGGGAGAGAAAGTAAGGGTGGACCTTTCTAAGAGAGGAATTCCCCCTGCTAGGTAAGTCTTGCTTAATCTGTTTTTTTTGTTTATTTTTTGGACACTGGATTTAAAAGTTTTAATTTCATGTGTTTATTTGAAATGGGTTCAATTTTCTGAAATGTTTTAAATTCAAAAGATACAAAAGGATATATAGGTTATCACTGCTTAAAAAGTTCTTAAGATCCTATAATTTTTTTGGACACTGTTTCATTATATGTTCACATATTATTTATATATTTTTAATATGTAATTAAGTACTATCTGTCTTTTGATACCAGGTAGTATCTTCATAGTTTAGAAGATGCTTGAGCAAAGATTTAGTAAAAATACTAATCCATTCAGTAATTATTTTTGAGTACATGCTGTTGAAAGGTACTATACAAGATACTGGCTACAGAAAGGTGTATAAAAATCAATCACTATCCTTAAAACGTACTCAAATGGAATACTTTGTGACTGTAAGAAAGAACAGTTCTTACCCTTTACAACAGCATGAATGTAAAAAAGTGGAATACTACATCGTTGTAAAAAAGAAGGCACTCTTATACTTTGTGATAGCATGGATGGACCTGGAGAACATTGTACTAAGTGAAATACACTAGTCAGAGAAAGACAAATACTATATGATCTCATGATCTCACTTACATGTGGAATCTAATAAACAAAATAAACTGACGAACAAAATAGAACCAGAGGCATGGATGCATGAAACAGACTGACAGATCTCAACGTAGAGGGTGGAGGGGACTGGAAGAGATTAGCAAAAGAACTTCTATGCATAGCGTATGGACCGAGGCACAATGTGGTGAAGGCTGGGAAGTGGGGGCTGGGGCTGGGTGGAGATGGGAAAAGTGGGAGGGAAATGGGGGACATTTGGAATAGTGTCAACAATAAAAAAAGAAAGAAAGAAAACCAGGTCAAATGAAAAAGAAATCCTGAATGAATAGAGTAGCATCTATCAGATCCATAAAATTCCTGTCAGTGAGCTTCTAGTATATCAGAACTTTTTTTTTCATAGCTACTTTTTTCTGTAGTTCTTCTCAGAGTGTATATTCCTATTTAACACATTATTCCAATTGGATTTTTTTTTCTTTGTAATGAAATTTTAGTCTCCATTTTAAGGGGAACCTAAAAGGAATTTTTTTTCTTTTTATTATGGAAAATTTCCAACATACTAAAGTAGACAGAATAGTATAATGAACTCTCATGTACCTATTGCGTATCTTCAGGATTAATAGCTGTGGCCACTTTTGTATATTATACCCTTACCAACTTACTTTTGTCCTGTATTATTCAGAAGCAAATCTAAGTCATCAGACCATTTCATCTGTAATTGTTCCTTATATATTTCTAAGGGGAAAAAAATTTTTTTCAATCACAGCCACAATGCCATCTTCACACCTTAAAATTTTTTGAAAATAATTCTGTAATATCAAATATCTAGTCATGGTTCAGATTTCCAGTTGTTTCACAAATGTCATATGTGTCTATGTATTTTTAGCAGTTTGTTTGAATAAGTATCCAAATAAAATCTAATGATTAGTTGATATGTTCTGTGTCTTTTTAAAACTTCATGTACCCCCAACACTTATTTTGCCTTGTATTTCATTTATTGAATATGCCAGGTAGTTTATCCTATAAAGTTCCCATATTCTGGATGTTGCTGATGTTGTCTGATTGTTTTTCTGTGGTGTAGTTTAACATGTTCTTCTGTCTTTATATCCTGTAAATTGGTAGTTGGATCTGGAGACTTGATCAGATTTTTGGCAAGGGGTATTAGAAGGAGCAAAACCACTTCATAGATGGTTGTGTGTTCTGTTACCACAATAAGTGTCATTATATCTGGTTGTCTCTTACCATTAAAGATTTTTTCCAGTAACAATTATTTTTTGTTGATAAGGCTGTCCAAAAAAATAAGCATTTTGTTTACTTACTCACTCATGTGCTTTCTACTTCTAGGACTAATAAGAATTTCACTTGAATATATTCTATATTATTTTATGTGGATGACAGAAATGATGTTACCATATACACTTGTAACATCATGTGAGTATATATGTGAGTATATATAGGGTAGGGCAGAAGTAGGTTTACAGTTATTAGTATAGAAAAAATATATAACAGATGATAATACAAGAATAAACTCTGTTTCATGTATTCACAACTGTAAACCTACTTTTGCTCCACTCTGTATATGTGTGTTTATATATTATATTAAATATTTTAAAATTTATATTGAAATTATTTTTCCTTTATTTGAAAATTTTTTTACAGTATGTGAGCCTGTTTTATTTTTTATTTTATTTTTTTTTATTGTTCAAATACATTTGTCTCCATTTTTCCACCACCACTTTCCCCTGTCTCACCCACCCCACCCCCAATCCTTCCCCTCTTTGGATTTATCCATGGGTCCTTTATACATGTTCCTTTTTTTTTTCCCTTTTTTCTTTTTTTAAAGATTTTGCTTATTTATTTTTAGAGAGGGGAAGGGACGTAGAAAGGGAGGGAGAAAAACATAAATACGTGGTTGCATCTTGCGTGCCCCCTACCAGAGTCCTGGCCTGCAACCCAGGCATGTGCCCTGCACTGGGAATTGAACTGGTGACCCTTTGGTTTGCAGACTGGTGCTCAATCCACTGAGCCACACCAGTCAGGGCTATACGTGTTTCTTGATTTGACCCTTCTCCTTCTTTTCCTCATTACCCCCCTCCCTCCTTCCCTCTCATTACTGTCGGTTTTTTCTTTCAATATTGTTGGTCACGTTTTTCTTGCTTGCTTGTTTTGTTGATTAGGTTCCACTTAATAGGTGAGATCACATGGTATTTGTCTTTCACCCTCTGGCGTATTTCACTTAGCATAATGCTCTCCAGTTCCATCCATGCTGTCGTGAAGGGTAGTAGTTTTTTCTTTCTTTCTGCTGCAAGTATTCCATTGTGTAATTGTACCATAGTTTTTTGATCTACTAATTTATTGATGGACACTTAGGTTGCTTCTAGCATTTAGCTATGGCAAATTGTGCTGCTATGAACATTGGGGCATATAGGTTGTTTTGAATTGGTGTTTTCAGATTCTTAGGATATAATCCCAGCAGTGGAATTGCTGGGTCAAAAGGCAGTTCCATTTCTAGTTTTTTGGGGAAATTCCAAACTGTTTTCCACAGTGGCTACACCAGTTTGCATTCCCACCAACTGTGTACTACGGTTCCCTTTTCTCCACAACCTCGCCAGCACTTGTTGGTTGTTGATTTGTTTATGATGGCCATTCTGACCAGTGTGAAGTGGTATCTCATTGTGGTTTTAATTTGCATTTCTCTGATGGCTAGTGATGCTGAGCATCCTTTCATAAGTCTCTGGGCCCTGTGTATGAAATTTTTATTCAAGTATGATACCCATACAGAAAAGTATGTAAAACATAAGTATGAAGCTCTGTAAATTATTACAAAGTGAATACACCCATGTATCCACCCTACAGGCAAAGAAGTAGAACAGCACAACATTCCAGAGGTCTCCCCAAATCCTTTTTAATCTTTCAGTTTTCTCTCCTTCTAAAAAGTAACTACAGTCCTGACTTCTGACAATCCTGACAATCACCACAGTTTACTTTTGCCTGTTTTTGAACTTTATTTAAATGGAATCACATAGTATGTACTCTTTTGTGTCTGGCTTCTTTCAGTTAATATTATCTTTTTAAGATACATTTGCACCTTTGGGTTCAGCTGTAGTTGTTCATTTTCATTGCCTTACAGTTTTCCATTGTGTGAGTAGACCATACCTTATGATTCCACACTGTTGGAGGATCTTTGTGTTGTTTATTTGTAACTTTATGAATAATGCTGTTAAAAACATTCTTGTATGTGTCTTTCGGTGTACATATGTATTCATTCTCTTGGAATATATCTGAGGGGAATTGCTGGGTCATAGGGTAGGTTTACCTTTAATTTATACTGACAGTTTTCCAGAGTGGTGGTACCTATTTAGATTCTCAATAGCACTGTTTGCCAGTTACCATTATTCTTCACTTTCACTGTTACGTGGCATTATTAATCTTACCGATTTAGGTTTCTGGTCCATATGCCTTCATTATGGTTGTAATCTGCATTTTTCTGATTACTAATAAAGAAGAGCACCATCTCATATTTATAAACTATTTGGATATGTTCTCTTAAAATGTCTTTTTCAGGTCTCTTGCCCATTTTAAAAAATAGGATAAGTCTGTCATTTTAAAAAAACTGGTAGAACTTTAAAAAAATACATTCTAGATATAAGGCCATTGTCAAAAAAAACTCTATCTATATATATTTCAAATATATTCTCCTACCATGTCACTTGTCTTTTTAGTTCCTTGATGTCTTTTGTTGTATATAAGTTCTTAATTTTAATGTAGCTCTCATCAGTTCCTTTATGATTAGACAGGTTCCTGTGTCCAGTTTAAAAAATCTTTGCCTACTCTGTCATGAAGACATTCTCTGTGTAATTGCCCTGAAGTTTTATTTATATTCAGGTTTATAGTACACATGGGATTTGTTTTTTTAAATGGTGTGAGATAGTGCTTCAGATACATTTTCTTTCCCATGTGGATATCCACTTGACCCAGCTACACTTATTAAAAACATTTTTCTTCAGTGTTCCTTTTGTTATAAGTTATGTGTCCACATATATGCCAAGGATTTTTGCATTATGCCCAAGGTAAAATTGGCCTATAATATTTCTTTCTTCTTAAGTTATGTTTAATAAGTAATTTTAGCCTCATAAGGGTTTTATCATATGTGGATAGCTTATGCTTCAATATCATTACTGAAATAACCCTATTCTTATTTTTGTTTATTCTCTCCTCTAAGTGGCAGATGAGACTATGAGACCCAGAGCAGTGATAGCTAGTTGGTGAGAAGCTGAAAGCTTCCTTTCTCAGTCAGTAGTTCTTTCCTCCATGTTATACTTTTATCATTCTTGTCTATGATGTTTCTCTAGGAAGTGGTAGGGGACTACGTAGTTACAAGGCATGGTAAAATTGGCTTTTTTCTTTTTCTTTTTTTATCCTTACCTGAGGACATTTCTTCATTGTTTTGAAAGAGAGAGAGGAAGAGGGAGGCAGATAGAGAAAGGGAGGGAGAAGGATGGGGGGAGAGACAAAGTGGAGGGGGAAACAAAGATGTCAGAGAGAAGTGTTGATAGTTGTGTTCTCATATGCATCCCAACCAGGAATTGAACCTGCAACCTGGGTATTTGTCCTGACCGGGAATCAAACTTGTGGCCTTTTGGTCTACGGGATGGTGTTGCAGCCAGTCCACACTGGCTAGGGCTGAGATTGGCTTTTTAAAGCATGCAGAGTGTTTTCTACTCTTTAGCATATGGACACATTATTATATAGGTAGTATTTTGAACATTCAAAATACTGGATGCATTTCTTATATGAATGAATTTTGGTTTATCCTTTTCTTCAGATAATTGTTCCACTAACTCTTTTCCTCTTTCTACTATCATTTGTTTGCAAGAACTGAATATAATGAATTCAGAAAATTATACTCTGTTTTCATGGTGGTCACGTTCTGCTCAGTGGAGCAGTCGGAACACGTACATTTATTGATTAAGTTTCTTGTTATATATAGGTGCAGTTCATGGCACCCCAAAACAGTTACATAGTAAGTAACATCAGAGGTCACTGGTCACAGATCACCTTAACAAATATAATAATAATGAAAAAGTTTTAAATATTGCGAGGATTACCAGATTGTGACATAGAGATGGGAAGTGAACAAATGCTGTTGGAAAAATGGTGCCAGTAGACTTGCTTGAACACAGGGTAGCCTCAAACCTTCAATCTGTAAAAAATGCAGTAACTGCAAAATACAATAAAGCAAAGTGTAATAAAACAAGGTATAATCAATTCCTAGGAGGTTTTTAACTAAAAGATTTTCTTAGGCTGACAGGAACCGGTATCTGCATCCTAATTTTACAAGTAAAATGGCAGGATATGTACCTATGGTGTTAGACTTAAATGTTAAAACTAAAATTTTAGAAATGAAATTGTGACAGGAAGATAAGGGTAAATCAAAAAACATTTTGCAATTAAATACAATGTGAGAGTGGCCTCCTGCCTTCCCCAAATCTCTGTCACAAATTTAAGACTAAATCATAGCATGGTATATTGGAAAGTAAAGGTAAAGCAAACTAAAAAAAAAAAGGTGCTGTCAGCATGATACTACTTTTGTCTGAAGAAAATTTATATGTAAATACAAAGCATCAGAAAGGATACAGTTAATAAATTCTGGATGATATTTGTGTGTGGCTTCTTCCTATTTATGTTTTCTAATTTTCTTTCATAATGAGGATACATTGCTTTTGTAATAAGAAACACATTTTTAACTTAAAAAAGAGCAATAGCAGGTATGTAGAAAGTAATTATTCTGAATATAAAATGAGAAGCACTAATGGAGTTGAATGAAGACAGGTTAGGAGGGAGAACATCAGATTATCAGTCATATCAACATTACTTTAGTTTCTGACATTTTATATTTCACTGTTTTTATATTTGCCTTATTTCCTTAACATGATTCTTTGTACTTTTTAAAGATGTATTGGTGTTATCCTGCTCTCTATCTATAAGTCTGTCTCTGTTTTGCTTGTTCGTTTAGTTTGACAGTGTGGTGATTGTGGGGGCCAGAGAGGAGGAGAGTATAAGGGGACTAAGTTGTAATGAAAAAAAATACAATAAAAAAAAATAAAGATATATTGGGACTGAATGGATTCATTATAAAGTTGGAACTAAAGTATTTTTGATGGGTTTGGAGAAATTATTTTATGATGAAACATGGGAAACTGCTTTGTGTGAAAGTTATCTTTTCACAAATATACCTGCAATTCTATAGAGTGCTACCTGTGTTTGGCTGGTTCTCTCAACAGGAGAGAGAGGGGTTTTGCCTTTCTTTTCATAAGTGAGTTCATTGTAAGAGAGTTATGTAGAGCTAACTGGAATTGTATTTTTTCCTCAGTGAGGTGGTAAGAGGAATTGTTAAACAATTTATTCTTTATTCCCAGATTAGAAATGATATTTGCCAAATTTGATGAAGTGCAGAACTCAGGCGGTATGATTTTGAATGTCTGCAAAGGTAAGAATAATTAAGTTATTCCAGTTCTTAAACATCTCTAAGATTATTTAGTAAACTTTTAAGACATGTGAACTGTTCTATTACTTTTGATTTTGTGGCTTAAAACTCAGTTAGGATACAATAACAAAGTCTTTACACCCTGCTGATCATTACCTATTTTTTGACTCTTTGGAGTAAGCGAAAACTTAATAATGGGTGTACTCAATTGTGAAAAATGATCCTGTTCATTGCCTGTTTTTTGTATCTTCTGGATTGAAGATATGATGACTGTCCTGCCCTCCACAGTCCATGCATGAAATGTCTTCACTATTCCCAGAGTAAATGTTTTACCTAGTTATTTTTTAAATCTTTTTCTAATTGTTGTTCAATTACAGCTGTCCCAATTTTTCCCCCAAAGCTCTCCCCTGCACCTCTGCCCCCTAGCCCATTGCTTTATACATGTTCATTGACTTGGCTTTTCCCCTTCTTTCCTCTATTATCCCCCTTCCTCCTCCCTTCTGGTTACTGCCATTTTGTTGTTTATTTCCATGTCTCTGGTTATATTTTGCTCATTTATTTGTTTTGTTGATTAGGTTCCACTTATAGGTGAGATCATATGGTGTTTTTCTTTCACCCCCTGGGTTATTTCACTTAGCATAATACTCTCCAGTTCCATCCACACTGTTGTGAAGGGCAGAAGTTCCTTCTTTTTTTCTGCTGCATAATATGCCATTGTGTAAATGTACCATAGTTTTTTGATCCACTCATTTATTGATGGGCACTTAGGCTCTTTCTAGCACCTGGCTATTGTAAATAACGCTCTGTTAACATTGGGGTGCATAGATTCTTTTGAATTGGTATTTCAGGACTCTTAACAGTATGATCCTAGCAGTGGAATCACTGGATCAAAAAGCAGTTCCATTTTTGGTTTTTTTGAGGAAATTCCATACTGTTTTCCACAGTGGCTGCACCAGTCTGCATTCCCACCAACAGTGTACTAACTAGCGGTTCCTTTTCTCCACAATCAGGCCAGCACTTCTTGTTTGTTGATTTGTTAATGATGCCCATTCTGACCAGTGTGAAGTGTTAATTGTGGTTTTAGTTTGCATTTCTCTGATGGCTAGTGATGTTGAACATCCTTTCATATGTCTCTGGGCCCTCTGTATGTCCTTCTTGGAGAAGTATCCATTCAGGTCATTTCCCATTTTTTAATTGGATTGTTTGTCTTTTTGGTGTGGAGTTGTATGAGTTTTTTATGTTTTGGAGATCATACCCTTGTCTGAGGTGTCATTGGCAAATATGTTTTCCCATATGATTGGTTCCCTTTTCATTTTGCTGATGTTTTCTTTAGCCATGCAGAAGCTTTTTACTTTGTTGTAGTCCCGTTTGTTTAATCTTTTCTTTATATCCCTTGCCCTTGGGGACATACTGGTGAAAATATTGCTGTGTGGGACATTTGAAATTTTCCTGTCTGTGTTTTCCTCCAGGCCTTTTATGGTGTCATGACTTATGTTTAAGTCTTTTATCCATCTTGAGTTTATTTTTGTGTATGGTGTAAGTTGATGGTCTAGTTTCATATTTTTTGCATGTAGCTCTCCAGATCTGCCAGCACCATTTGTTGAAAAGGCTTTTTTTACTCCATTATATGCAGCTGCCCTCTTTGTTAAATGTTAATTGATCATAGAGACATAGGTTTATTTCTGGGTTCTCTAGTCTGTTCCATTGATCTGTGTCTGTTCTTATTGCCAATACCAGACTGTTTTGATTACAGTGGTGTTGTAATATAGTTTGATGTCAGGTATTGTGATTCCTCCTACTTTGTTCTTCTTTCTCAAAATTGCTGAGGCTGTTTGGGATCATTTATGGTTCCATATAAATTTTAGAAATATTTGTTCTATATCTATAATTATGTCATTGGTATTTTAATAGAGATTGAGTTGAATTATAAATTGCTTTGAGTAGTATGGACATTTTAACCATATTAATTCTTCCAACCCATGAACACAGCATATGCGTTACATGCCTCCATTTATTTGTGTCTTCCTTCATTTTTTTCTCCAGTGTTCTGTAGTTTTCTGAGTACAGGTCTTTTACTTCCTTGGTTAAGTTTATTCCTAGGCACTTTATTTTTCTTGGTGCTATTGTTTTACTTAGTTGTTTTTAGTAGAAATTGTGGGGTTGATGGATTCTGTTACACCTACGTGTAGACTGTCAGTGATGATACTGGTGAAGAGACACAGACATAGGAACTTTACCACCATAATCATCTTCGGCTTCTTAATTAGAGTTGGAATTCATGGAGGTTGGGGTTAGTGTTTGGCATTCATTTGATTTTGTGGTTGCTCTACTTTTTGTAAAGACACTAAACCATATTTAGTTTTGTTGGGTAACATTTACCTAGACCGCAGTCTTTAATTATTAATTAGCCTTATATGTAAAGAGTATATTGTATTTCCAGAGATAGTATAGGGTTTTTTTTCACCTAGGAAATTAGGTTCATATTAAAGAGAGCGTGATTAGTAATGTAAATGATGCTGGAGAAAAAAATTAGGTGTATGAGTTGTATAGTTAAATAATAGGAAAACTAGTTTGTAATATAAATTAGTCTTTTCCCTCTAGTCTTGTTTTGTTGCAGGAAGGCAGATGAAATGAGAATTTAGTGTTAAAAAGATTGTGTCTACCCCAATCTAAAGTTAGTTCCAGAAGCATAAATTGTCTTTAGCGCTACTGGTCCTCACTCTAACTGCCAGCTGTTTCTCACTCCTCTGAATAGAAGGTGTTTTAAGTGCCTTGTTTTTCTTTTTCCAGCAGTTACCTCTGTCGATTTCTGTAGAAACCACAAACAGCAGGAAGATGGCGAGTTGTTAAAATTCCTTGAATTAAGATTTTTGTGTTTTTATACTAGTTATAGTACACTCTCATTTTTGTTATTTCAGACTATGTAGTTACAGCTCTAAGAAAAGGAATATAATGCTTATTATAAATTTAAGATATTCCTTACTTATTATTTGGTATGGTTTATTTAGAAAGAACTGTCATTCTTATTATCTGTGAGGTTATTTCTATTACCTTCAAAATAGCATTTTCCCCCCTATTCTTTTAGCTCTCATTTCTTTTTCTCTTATTTATCTCTTTATAAACAGGAGGTTTAGGGTTAGTATCTGCCATTTATTTCTCTTAGGGGAGTTTTGAAAGGTTTTTTGGAGATACCACAACTGAATATTGTAAGTAAGCATGGTCAAATGTGAATGTCAAGGTCTGTAATACATATATGGGAGTGTAGAAATTGGTCATGATGTTTTTGATGACAGTATTATGATGTCATTGAAAAATACCTTAATGGATTCTTTAATAAGGGAGGGGGTTAGAAGAGAGAAGCCCACTTACCTTGTTGGCAGCTGCCAAACCCCCTCCTCTCCCTGGCCTTTATTTTTCCTCAGTGACCTAATCTAGCCCAAAGGCTTTAAATGGTAACTATTTGCTGATGCCTCAAATGTGTAGTTCTAGCCCTCACTCATCTCTCCCTTATGCTCTATAATTGGTAGCCAGTGGCCGCTACATTTCCATTGGATGCCTGATGGGCATCCTAGGCTTAACGTGTCCAAAATGGAAACCCTTTTGTCTTTTCCTTTCCTTCAAATTTGTTCTTCCCTCATATTACGCATTTCAGTCAGTGGAACCATCATCAGCTCAGGCTAAAAAATCTAAATTAATCCCTAATTGTCATTTACTAATTAGTCTAATTAGTCATTTCTTCCTGTGAAATGTTGATATATCCCAATTTTTCTTTTCATCTCCACTGCTAAAACCCACTCTAACTCTCCTTTAATTTTTGCCTAGATTACTACAATAGCTTTCAGTACCATGTTTGCCCCCTGGAATCTGTTTTCTATCCAGAAGTGGGAATGACCTTAAAATGTAAACTACATCCTGTCACAAGAGTGAGGAAGACAGTTAAAGATTCCGCCTCACTGAGCCTACATTCTAGTAAGGGAGAGTAGATCATGAATAAGTGAACAAATGGATATCCAGCGTGATTACAGTTGGTAATAGAAGAAATACAACTACGCTTTGTTTAGTGAATTTAATGAATTTAATTTACACTATTTTTAAAATCCTTGCTGCCAAATTAATAGCCATTAAATGAAAACATTATTTACATTAATATTATAGTATGTTTGATTCCATCCCAGGATACTTGAATAATTTTCACAGGTAGAAAAATGTATCAAGTAAGCACTGAAAACAAGTTTTCATAGGTAACTTTTTAAATGCAAAAAATATTTCGTACTCGACATAATAAAGGTTTATTCAACTCCTTTTTTTATTTCTGCACATTTTTCCCCACAAAATTTTGAGCCCTTTGTTGGTTCATTGTTATTGTACACTCAAATTAGAATTGCAAAAGTAAAAATAGAACAGGCCCTGGCTGGTGTGGCTCAGTTGTTTGAAGCATTACCTGTAGACCTAAAGGTCATGTGTTCAATTACTGGTCAGGGCACATACCCAGGTTATGGTGCCAGTCCCCTGTTGGGGCACATATGAAAATACAATCAATCGCTGTCTCCCCCATCCCTGTCTCTCTCTCCTTTTTCCTTCTTTCATCCCCTGCCCCTCTCTCCTTTCTCTCTAAAAGCAATTTTTTTAAAAAGTCCTTGGGTGAGGATAAAAAAAGTAATAGAATAGGAAAACATTCTAGTTCAAAATAAAGTCTCAACATGAAAGTTTGTAAGAATATTTTACGCACAGCCCTGGCTGGGTTGCTCGGTTGACCAGAGCGTTGTCCTGTGTACCAAAATGTTACTGGTTTGATCCTTGGTTGGGGCGCAAATGGAAGGCAACCGATCGATGTTTCTCTCTCACATCTGTGTTCCTCCCCTTCTCCCTCTCTCTTTCTAAAATCAATAAACATATCCTAGGGTGAGGATTTTAAAAAAATTTACACACATGACACACTGAAGAGCCATTAAAGATAACCACCTTTTCTTTCTCTTGCTTTGTGTACATAATGCAAAGCAAAT